GTTTGAAACTGGTTAGATAGCCCATTTTTCATTTTTACTCTTTATTATCATCATGAGTGGTAATAATAAAATTAATTTTGTCAGTTTATGGCAGTTATAAAGTTTTGTACCACTAAAACACACATATATATATATATATATATATATATATATATATATATATATATATATATATATAAAAACATCTACTGATTTTTAAAACATGTGCAAACACACTCTGTTAATGGTTATTTTTTTAATTTTAAATTTGTCCATTGTAGTTATGGAATTTTTTGAAAAACATTAAAATCATCATAATGGAATGCAGATTTTATCACAGTTATAATGTTTGTCTTTGTAATTTACTCCTAAATATGATTTTGGAAAAGATCAAAAGTTAGAAAAAACTACAGTGTCTTCCTTGATGAATTTCATCTTAACATCAAAAAACTGATTAAACAACTGGAAAGGATCAGTATAAAAATAAGTAGACAATATGCCTATATTCATCACAATAAAACAGGTTCGAATGAAGATATGCTGCCTAAATATACATATAGTCAATTGCTGATACCCTATGATGAGTGGACGGACAGGTCCAACTACGAAACTCAGGAGTTGAGATGCTGAAAGTAACATCAATCAGCTAAGTGACAAACCTTATATATATATATATATATATATATATATATATATATATATATATATATGCACAAATACAATTATTTAGGGTCAGTGAAAACAGTAACATATTATGACTTTCAGGGATAATTTCTACTCTTTAAAATAAAATCAATCATGCTTAACAATTTTTATTTTTTTTAATACACACCAAAAAAGGAGGGTATTATCAATGATTATAAAGCAAAGATCATACAAAATGTTTTTTTTTGTATTTCACTGAAATGTCTAGATTCAAAACAACTGTTTTTTTTCTGTCAGAATTTCTGGGATGAAGAGTTATCATTATTTACACTTATTTTTGTGATATAGTAATTGTGAATTCAATCCCTGGGCTGGACAGTGTGTACTTGGGCTCGGTGGAAACAGGGTGAGTAATAATACTAAAATTAAGAACTACATGAGATATCCCTGGAATGAGAACAGTCTAGTCCCCCCCCCCCCCGCCAATATAGATTAAATAAAGGGTTCGATTCAGAATTACCTGTAGGTTACCCTGATTGATAGACACCTGATGAAGGTGGAGGGGGGGGACATAACACCCTAAATGTGATAATAACAACAAAGATGAGGACAATAGTTTGCATGTAAATAGTGTAAATAACCAACTATTTTTTTAATAATTTGAATTGTAAATAGGAAAGCAAATTGTAAATAGGAAAGCAAATTGTTTCTATATTTTAAAAACTATTTCCTAACAAACTTATTAATATATGAAACACTAAAGTGGATGCATATCTCAGTTACCATTTCCTATGGTTATTTAATAATCTCTGAAAAATAAAAATCTTCAACTTTATCAGGAAAAGTGGTTCCATTTTTATTCTTTGTTATATGCAGGCAAGCATAAATCTCAAACATTTTGGTTTATTTCTGTTATGATGTTGATTTGGGGTTAGTAGAGACAAACGCCAAATAACACGTAACAATAAAAAGGGTTTTAATAGGTTGGTAAAAAGGTACAGAAATTGCCTGAGTAGTCAATAACTAGCTCAGCTAAGAACTTCTCTGTCTATCTGTCTCCCCCCATGTCAACTGACATGCCACTATTTAAAGTCTTTGTTCACAGACAAGTTCATCTTCAAGAGGGATGGTAGGTTTCCGACAACAATTTCAATAAGAAATTTTTTTTCAAGCTAATTTACTGAACATTTTGTGAGTGTTTTTATATACTAAAAATTCCATTAAAATATACTAGTTTTGAAGTTGCTTTAGTAAATTTATACAAAAATGGAAAATTCAGTTTGTATATAGTTTTAGTGATAAATTATTACTGTATAGTCCAATTGCCTTACTAATAATTTTCATAGCACAATTACAAATTCTTAAATTGCTTCTCAGCTTTCAGGCCAGGATCAATGTGTAGTATGTGTTTTCCTCATTTTTAAAATAGAGAATATGGTTGGCGCTGGGGATTCTAACCTTCTCATTGCATTAAGTGAGGTAAGTTTGGAAAGGTAATGTCGACACCAGTTTGACAGTGGTTGTGGGACTAGGTCATTTTTGTCTTTGGCCCATATGTACACATATGGGCACCCAACATAAAAAAAAAAACATTATGTCACGTCCTACCTTTGTGGGGAGGTCAGATAAATAAATAAATAAAAATCCTGAATTCTTAAATCATATAACGTAACCAAATAATTTCACTGACCAAAAGCAAAAATTAGCAGGACATTTTTAATATCTTAGGACCAATTTAAATTTTAAATCTGTAATGAAAAAGTGTTGCATAAAAATTTTAAAACATAAATATTATATTATATATATATATATGACAAAATATAATTGATTTGGTAAAGATAACAAAATCATGAAAGCAAAACAAGAAATCGATGACAGAAAATTGCAACCAAGAATCATAAAGAAATTCAGGTAGCAAGTACAACATTCTAATGAACAACAGAAAACACCAAAAGAAAAGCAAGCACTATAAATGCTAATAAAAAGAATTTGAATGAGATATCTAGATTAATTTTTCAGATGAAATCAAATGTTTCTTAATCATACAAGACATTTTGCAGTTTGAGAATAAAAAACTTTTACCCAAGACACTAATATGTAACTATGACAAGGTATATCTGTGTATTCATACTTAACAACAAATATGGGTTATGCCTAACAATATATGTCAACCAGTACTAGAGTACAACACATTTAAGACAAGCAGATTTTTGCAAATAAAATGCTCAATGTTAAAAAAAAAACAAAAACAGAGAATAGATAATTAAAAAGTTCAATAGCTCATCCTTTGATTTACTTTAATAAGTGGAACAGTGTCTGTGAAGCTTCATGTCATGGAATAAAGAAATCTTTTTATTTATTCTCTTTTCATACTACACATAGATTATATACTTGAAACCAACATACTGTTATTAACTTACAAATAAGAAAAACTACTAAAAGTCTTTTCAGCTACAAATTTTATTTTCAATATTTTTGAATAAATGATATCTATGCAACAATGTTTATCTCTTACAGATCAAATATTTTTATGAATTTTGATCACCTGGTTAGTTACTTAAGATGAATGATAATGTTTAACACATTTCAAATTAAGTCATCAATATTATTCCAATATTTTCTAAATTTTTTTTTCAAGGGTTGAGTATTTAATTGATTGATTGATTTTAAAAACAGAACATATTTTTAGATTGCAAAATTTTTTTATTTTTTCAAATACTAATGATTTAGTAATACAAGTCCTACTAATTAACCCATAGCTGGGGGAGAAGAGGTGGATTTATACTTTTATCAAGAGTATTTTGCACACAAGTGAATATAACAAACCCAACTTCAGTTGGAACTTAGCTTTCTGATTTTCATTTGAATGATTCACTGATACAAGTCGTGCTAATTAACCCATAGCTAAGGGGAGAAGAAGTGGAGTCATACCTTTCCCAAGGATATTTGCATGTAAGTGAATATAACAAACTCAACTGGAAAGGGAATACAATTGCTTAATTAGTTTTCTAAGCTGATCAACCTGGCTCTCCTATTAACAATTCCGAGCCATTATCCATTACACCACCTGCACATCCAAGCTTACAGCACCTAGTATTCCCAAGAGGTCACCCATCTAGGTTTTCACCAGGCTTAACATTGCTTAACCAGTGATCATACGGGAACCGATGTTTCAATGCGATGTGAAATATATAGTTTATATTATTAATGATGTCAATTTAAAAAAAACTGTTAATATCATCCAAAAATAATTGCAAACATTATTACTTTATCTTTAATGTTTTCTATTTTATCTTTATTACAAGATTCACAAATTAAAATTAGTCATTGATAAACTATTGAAATTAACTGATAGATTATAATGGATAAAAACAAAGTAGCATTCTTAAGAATTTTTAAAAAATGAATTCATTCAAACATACTTGAGTCAATTTCATTTTACTGTAATAAAATTTAATTTGGTACTGTCTGTATACAATGCCTACACTTATTTGTGAAACAATTTGTTGGCCAATAAAACATTGAAAAAGACAAAAATGGAAGAGAGTAATGACTGTTTCTTACTGAAAATATATTTATCTTAAATATTGATATTGTAGATACTTATTCTATATTAATTACCAAATTAAAAAAATAGAAAATATAAGAACAAAATATCATTTGAATTTATAATAATGCAAAATACTAAATTAGTAAAAAAATGATGTATTCTTATATTTCTGATTATACAATTGTAAATTTTAGGACATTTGAAAACAAACGAAGGGTAAAAGAATTAGTTTTCTATTCTCAATATCTCCTTGACTAAAAGATTGAATACAATTTTAACAAGAAATAAAATAAATCTTAAAAAAAAAAAAAATACAAAAACAACACTCAAGAATAGCTACAAATAAGACATTTACATGCAAAATTCTGTGTTTTTTCTTTTTTTTTTTTCGTTTTTTCTCTAAATCAGTAAAAGTAACCTCTTAAGGATTCCAACTACATTAGAATCATACTGTGATAACCTATTATGTGACAAATCCCAGCATGCACTGCAGTAGAATCAGAGTAAATCACACATCCCAATGTGAGTCTCTAACACAAACAAGTGATTTTAACTATCCATATGAGGTGTAGATACTGGAACAACATTGATCAACCTTCTTAAAATTCTAATCAACCCAACAGGTGTTGATAACAATCATATCCAAAGAGAAAGAGAGAGAGAGAGAGAGAGAAAGATGAACATACACAAATCATTTACACATATATACATATATATACCTGGTTAGTAATCCATGATCTGTTAGAGGGAAGACTTCTTCTGGATGAAAAAGGGTTCCTTTGTATATCTCCACTTGAAGTAGTTCGGCAGGTAGAGTTAATAGAACAGGAGGAAGATAACGCGTCCAGGTGGAGTAAACTGTCCTCATGGGAGAAACTGTGCAGGGACTCATGGTCCTCCATTTGAGAAAATGACAGCGGCAGGAAAACCTGAGTGAGATAGACCCAGAGGAATATATTGTGCAAGGTGAAATCTAGCCCATGAGGTCAGAAGCCTGACAATTAGAGCCAACAGTGATGCCAAAGAGAGTGTATACTTCTTGGAGGTTCAGAAATGTAAAAGTAGTGAAGGACAGAGAGTTGAATGTGAAAATAATAAGTTATGAAAGTGATCATTTGAGAAAGACAGAAATGAAAATTGCTTGATTACATTGATAGAAGAGATAGATATCAGTTTATTTTCCTTATAATAAATACTGAGAGGTGAGAGAGCAAAGAACTACTATGATTTAATTAAAGCAAGTCATAACTACAACATAAACAAATTCAAGCAACACAAATAAAATTCTTTTAAGCTGAGACCATAATATAGTGTGTGCAAGAGAGAGCTATTTTTACAAGAAATAGTACCTAATAATTAAGAGCTAATAAAAGTGGGTGGCCACCATCAGAAAGATGACATAACAAAAGGAGATTGGGTTTCCTTTCAGAATTTAGATAAGAATATAATAATATATATAAGCTCATAATTGGTTACTGTAACAGAGAAATGCAGACTACCCCCAATCAACATAATCAGAGTGAGGTATTTCATTAGAAGAGGCCAATTGTAAGTAATTCATTTATGTAAATATAACCAGTCATACCTCTAATCAGTGGTTGACTGGGACAGGAAATAGCTTGTAAATTTTAATGCCTCCAAAATGAAACTGCTCTTATCTAACTACCACAGAGAAACTTCCCTGTCCCCTATCAGCATGGCTGATGCTCAACTTCACAAGAGTGTCTCACTGTGCCTTCTTGACCTCACATTTTCTACTGAATTGAGGTGGAACAACTACATTGAATCAATAGCTGCATCTACTTCAAGGAAATTTGGTTCTCTGTGTCATGCCAGGTTTTTCTAGTCTGAATCCATGTTACACTATCATACATCCATGCATTGAATACTATTGCTATATATGGTCTGGTGCCCCTCCTGTTCATCTCGAGGTTCTCAACAAAATCTAAAGATGGATCTGCAATATGATAGGTTCTGATTTGGCATCTTGACTACAGTCACTTTCCCACAGACATGATGTGGCTTCCCTCTATCTTTTCTACAAATATTTTCATAGCATCTGCTCTGATAAGCTATTTTCACTGGTTCTCTAACTGTATGAATTTAAGTGTGCTACTAGGTTGGCATCTAGGTACCACCCTTTTACTGTTGAAACAGTTAAATGTAACTGCCTCTTCTACTCCAATAGATTCTCTTGCACTTCCTGACAAATGGAACTCCTTTACTCTTACTTGCTTCCCTGATAACTACAACCTTCAAAAATTTAAATGTAATGTCAATCATCATCTTCTGATCCATGTTCTTTTTATCCACAACCACCCCCCATACCCAGTCTTTTCTCTTGCTTTAACTCTCTGTAACCCCTTGTGTACTAGTGGCACTCCTGCCTTGCTTAGTGTGAAATGCTTAAAAAAAAAAAAAAAAAAAGAAAAGAAAAAGAAGATATAACTTTAAATTTTATGCTAATAGCTTTTTTGCTCACACTTCTCGCATGTGAGACTCCCTTCTGGCTGTATGCTTTCCAGACAACTTTAATCTGTAACAATTTAAATGCCATATCAATCACTATCTGCTGTCCTGATTACTCTTTCCTCTTGTTGCTAATTATTAATGTTTCTATTCCTAATTCTTCCACACCCAGTAACCCCTTGTGTCTTAGTAGGTTTCTGCCTTAGATGGAGGGAAACTGATTTAAAAAAAAGAAAAAGAAAAAGGAATATAAAGAAAATTATTATAAAGAGAAAGAAGAAAATTTTCCTTTTTTTTTTTTTTAAACCAATAACAAAAAGAGAAACTGACTTAAATCTCAACTTTAAATCTTAATACACCAAATATATACCTAATATAACTTTATGCCTGTATTAGTTTCATTCAGACATGTATTATATGACATAAAAATACAGTGCTTCACTGTTGTATACTTGTGCAAGTTAGTAAAGTTGTCTTCAATAGCATTTGTGATATTCCCCCTTTAAGTTGTATCGTTATTTTGAGTTATGTAATTGTATTTGTACACTAATTGCTTAAATCGTATAAATGCTAATACAGAAGAACTGATCTCTCATAAGATTTGAAACACATCTAATCTTATCTTTAACTCTCTATTAACTTGTTTCATTTACAAAAGTGAAATGTGATAGCTCTGAATGCAATTTTCTTGCATTAGGGTAAATACACATGTAATGTTTGTTATAAACAAACACACATTTTAATTTTGAAAAATATAAATGATAGTGTATTTTTTATTCTATATTAATAGGAAACTAAAATGCTAATAGTTCATTTAAATAATACAGTCAAAGTTAATCACTGTAAATTATATACAAATTTATATGCATTTTTCAATTTTAGAACTTACAACCCAACTAAAGGGACCAATTATGTTTTAACTGGGTGTATGTGTTGCTAGAATACAGTTTTGTACCACTGAGAAGTAAGTTGGTATATTTATATTGTTATATTCCATGCTAATAGGAATAAGAATAAAGGTAACAGTTATGCACAAGGTCGTTGCAAGTCAATCCAGCAGTGACTGTTACTATTGGAAGGTCAATAGTTCTCACATAAGTCCGAGTTGTACTCAAAAGATCCCAGCTAGTATATTTAGCTACCCCCTCATGAGGGTTGCATGTGGCACAAGGCCGGTTTAACGTGGGTTGTCTGAGCCCATATGCTTGGCCAAAAATATTCCCTTTCGAACCCGTATAAACAGGTTCAGGGTCAGTCAACCTCCCCAAACGAGACACTGCCCTTCGGCAGAGCCTCATCTGGGTTCCTCTCTGCCCAAAGACAGAGAGTTCTACTGTTTAGCTGGAACAGGTCACAGCTAGTCTCTGTAGTCTGTTTACTTACAGATACTTATAGGTAGTTATTACCTATAGTGTAGTCACTCATGGGTGTGACAGGTTATTCCATTTCATCCTATATACTTTTTTCTCACAAAACTGTATGTGGACACAGTACATCATTTTTATATTTTTAGCATTCATCCATGCATTGTATATTGCTGCCACATCTGGTCTGGTGCTTCTGTCCTGTTTTTAGAGATTCTTCATAAAATACAAAGAATAATTTACAAGGTTATTGTTCCTCACCTAGCATCTTGGCTTCAGCCATTTTCTCACCACCTTAATCTAACTACCCTGTGCCTTTCCTATAAATACTTTCATGGTAATTGTTCTGATGAACTTTCGTTTTTGGTACCTAGACTTTATGAATTTAAGTGTAGTACTAGATTGGTGTCAAGGTCTTGTCATTTTACAGTTGAAATGCTAAATGTAACTAAGTTCTATGCTAACATTTTCTTCTCTTGCACTTCTTGCTTGTGGAAGTCTCTTCTGACTTCTTGTTTTCTAGTTATCTTTGATCTTCAAAAGTTTAAATGCAATGTCAATTTTTACCTTCCATCTTTTTAATTTCTGTTCTTTTTTTTTTGATTTGTCTACTTAATAATGTTTTCTTTTTCTCACTTTCTTTCACACTCAGTAACCCCTTGTGTTTTAGTGACATTATTACCTTGCTTGGGGGAAATGATTACAAAAATTAATAAAATAATAAAGGAATTAAACTCTGCAGATAAGAAAATGAATGGAGTAATTTGTATGTTATATTCTGACTAAAAAAGCAAATTAGTTGAATATATATGCATTATAAAAATAAAATGAGCAAAAAAGTTAACATTTATCAGAGATAAAAATGTAATATTTTGAAAATATGGAAAAGAAAGTAAAGTGAAGCTATACATTTCTTGATATATTTCACTTTTATAAATGTGTATTATAAATTTAAAAATAAGAGCAACCAAGAAAATCTCTGTGTGTGCACGTGTTAGTTTAAGAGAGAGGGAAGATAATTAGTAAGCAATTGGTTAAGAAAATGATCCCCTCTCTGTGCAATCTGTTAGCCATCTTCTGGCCTAAGTTAAATATTTTAACATCAAGTAGGAGGATACAACAAAATATTTGCTTAATCCATGTGACTTGTTAGGATCTATACACAGGTTTGATTTACTAAATACTGATTTAGACAATCCATTTCCTGTTGCGCAGATAAAGAAACAAAAAAAAAAAAAAAAAAAAAATCGGTAAATGACATTTAGTGGTCTTAATATGCAATAATTCAGTGTTGAATGTTCATATTTTAACAGGAATTAAAGATTTGACAATCTTTCTAACAAGTATAAATTTTCTATTAAAAATTATCTATGATTCCATTGGAATGATGGGGAATCATTGCTGATTTTTTGTTGATTAAAGATTTTATAGAATTTGCATTTTCTTTGGATCTGTGACTCCTTTATAAATTTCCCAGAAAATAACAACTTTTAGTTTTCTACACTTGTTTAGTGAAAACTTGTCTCAAAGCATTTAATATTTCTCACAAACATAAAAACTTTATGTATTCAAAAGTTTTAAATAATTTAAAATTATAAGTAGATTTTTCATTGCACCCACATTGCTACCAAATATGACATAAGGTCAAGGTTTAAAGTGAGTTTAATGGCAATATCATGGAAAAATTGTTCACGCTCCCTCTTCATTTCTCCTTTCAGGGGTACCTCAGGCACCAGTTAATGACCCCAGATTCCTCCCAGAGGAAAGGTACTGCCTGGGAAAATACCCCCCCGGGGGGGCTTGAGTTTAAATTTATACTAAGAATATTCAACAAATAAGCACAATTGTCATGTCCATGATTATTGTGTTTAGCATGAAACAGACTATCATCTCTGAGTGTTGACTTCAATGTCCACTTTTATATTTATATTACTATATTAGGCTAGAAGCCACCCTTTGGGCAGACTTTAGGCAAGCTCCTGCAGAGAGCTTTTGGGCCTTCGGACTATAACCTTCAATGTCCTATGTAAAAGTTATAAGAATTAAGAAATAAAATTATTTTATCTTTATTCAATACCTTAATTCAGCATAATCTT